GAGCCCCCCGCGCCACGGCACCATGGTACGCGAGGCCCTGCCTGTCCCCCCTCTTATCCGCCCACCTGCCCGCGCCGCCCTCGGGGCGCAGCGCCCGTCGGCTCGCGGCGGAGCTGCTGGGAGCAGCGACCCCCTCTCCCTGCCTCCCGACCCCGCTAGGTCCCCTCGGGCGGGGAAGGCGGCGCCACGCGCGGCCCTGGGCAGAAAGAGGGTTGAATTCCTGGGGTGGGGGCGCCGGCGCGAGAGGCTGAGGTCTCGCTGGGCACTGGCGGAGGGGGGCGCTGCTCTGAGCCTGCACGGCGCCGCCCTCCGACCGGGTGATGGGGAGGGGGGGGCGGAGGTCGGTTCCCGCCTGGCCTTGGGCCACGTGAGCTCTGGAGCCGCCCTATTTCGGATTGGGGCGCCCGGGCCAAGCTGGGTGGGAGGGCGCCGACACCCGCAGTTCTGGTCCGAACTCCTGTGTGACCTTGGGCCAGTCCCGGCCCTCTCTGAGCCCGCCTTCCTGGGAAGGAGGGGGGGGGAGGCGGGGGCTGGCGCTCAGAGAAGGCTGACATAGACACCCCCTCCACAAGAGGAGCAACCTGGAAGTCCTGAGCCTGTTTCCCTTCCTGCTCAGTGATGAAAGGCTGGCCTGGGGTGGGGGGTGGGGTACAGATGGAAGCCCAGGAAGGCCAGTAGACAGCTTGTGGCATAAGGTGTGAGGCAAGGTACCCCCCAGATTTAGAAGGTTGTGACCAGGTGAGTGGCCTCGGCAGGTGTCCCTGGCACCTGGTCTCCTTCCTCTCCCCCACACCCCAGCCTTCCTTGGGCAGTGGATTGAGGGCATGGACCCCGCTGGTAACGGGAGTGCCTGGCTTCTCCTCTGGTCCAGCACCTTAACTATGCTGGCTTGGCCTGGACGTGGGGTGAAGTGCAGGACTACAGCTGGCACAGCCAGAAGGGGAGGGCTGTCTGCAGCTTCAGGGAACTGGCACATCTGGCTGGTAAGGCAGGCATGGCTGGTGGGCCTTGCATGGGTGGTGCCAGCCTAGGGAGCAGCTTATCTGCTAAGAGGCTGCCAGTCATGCCCTTGGGCAACACCAGTGTGCCCTGTCAAGGAAGTGCCACCAGGCTGTGAGGGTCTCAGGCCTCTGAAGGCCAGGGACGATGCCGCTTGGCTGGGGGTGCCATCTCTCTGAGGTCAGAGGGCCCTGGCCGCCAGATCTGCACACAGGAAGTTTGGCCATTGCCCTTTCCCTATGACAAGTTGGCACTGGAGGAGGGCATTCCATGAAAGGGGAGCAGGATGAACTGGGCCCTGTAGCCCTGGTGAGATCCCCCAATGGGTCTGACAAGCTACTTCCCTGCCACTGTGTAACTCCCTGGAGGCTCTGAATTGCCTCTTTTACAACCCAAGTTGTACCCTGAAGCCTCGAAGGCCTGCAGGTGACAACAGCTTTGTGGGGGAAGTAGCCAGTGAGGTTGGTGGCTGAGTAGTGTCAGGGTCTGGGGAACACAGGTGGTCCCCTGGGAAGAGGTTCCCCAGATGCCACTTTCTGCTTTTTACATCATTAAAAGACCACGAAAGCTTATCAGGTGAGCAGTGTCCTTTCCAGCGGGGGGAAGGGGACCTCAGCTGCGAGTCAGGGGTTCTGCTGCTCGCTGTGGACCTCCCCATTCTGAGCCTTGGTTTCCCCATCTGCGCAGTAGTGTTTGGTCCCAGAAGATGAATCAGAATGAGTCAGAGGAAAGAGATGGGAGGTGCTTGGCACCTCCCCCATTAGACTGGCCAGTCCTGGATGGACCTTTCGCCCCTAGACCGGGGCAGATGGGTGGCTTCTTGGCAGAGTGGGGGCGTAGGTGAGGAGAGGCTTGCTGTGGGAGAACTCAAGGGAGATGGTGTCTCCATCTGGCCTGTCACACTGAGATCTGAGAGCCTGGCAGCAGCCCCGGGATACCGGGTGTGGAAGGTGGCGCCCAGGACAGCAGGTCTGGGGGCAGGGGACCCCTCGAGGCTCACCCCGAGGCCGAGGGCAGATTCGTACTGGGGCGACTGAGAAGTTGAGCACAGACGCTACGCTGGCCCACTGCATGTGCACGGGCATGAGCGGTGGGCATGCACTGTGGCGGACGGGGGCCAGGCTTTCATGCCAGGCCTTCCAGGGGGCTTTTGGGGGAGAGGAGCTGATGGCCTGTGGCAGTGGAGCCAGTTGGACAGGGCCTGAGGAGGGTCAGCGCCTGGAACCTGTGGGCTTGGTCCAGCTAGGCGGGTAGTTAGCAGGTATTAATTGGACATCTGCTGTGCTGGACCGATGCAAGGGATGGGCAGCCTGCTTCCTGTGCTGTCCACCTTCTGGGGTTGCTATGATGGATCCAGAAATGATAAAGTAGCCACTATTCTGGGCAAGTCACAGGTGCAGGATTTGGCCAAAAGCCTAACAATCTGATCCATCCAACTTTAAGTCTTCTTGAGGCTTCAGAGACCCCAGGTGGTGTGACCTCCAAGGTAGAGCCATCTTGGAACCTCTTGGTCTGGACTATACCTTACCTGGGGGCCAAGCGAGAAAGGGTCTGGGGCAGGCCTTGGGGGCCTTCTGCCTCCAGGCATGGCAGAGAGGTGACACAACTGTGTTCTCCTGCTCCCGCAGAAGGCCCGTGTGAGGGGTCACTGGCAGGTCTGAGGCTACAAGCACGGAAGGGCCCAGCCCAAGCATTGTCTGGGTATCAAGGCGCTGGCTGGCTTTCGCCTTTCTACCTTAGCAGGCCAGCAGCACCAGGCTGGGAGAAGTTTCAGGCCCTGGGCCTGCATTTTATCACTAAATTTTCTTTCTCTGTAGCACTCAGGCCTGGGCCTTGGGGCCTGTGCTGGTAAGGTGAGGTTCCCTCAGTGATGAAGTGAGGGAGCGAGCCTGACTTCTGATCTTGAGGTATCTGGGGTGGGACAGGCTTGGCTTTATTTGTGAGTGTGGGGGACAGAACCCAGAGAGCTCAGAAACCGCCAAAGGAGCTGTGTCCCTCTGGGGTGACCACCTAATCCCGGCTTGCCCAGAAAGACCTTGATTTTAGCACTGAAAGTCCCACATCTGAGGTCCCAGGCACCCCTAGGTGGCTGGTCACCTTCACCCCATTTCCTTCCTCTTTCCTTTTCTCCCCCTTCTCTTCTGGAGTGACTTCTTCTGTTCCATAGGGAAGAGATAGAGGCCCAGACAAGTTAACCAAGTAACCCTGAGTCCATGGTCGGAGTTCGGGCTGGACAGGACAGCCGACTGGGACGCCGATCCTGGCTTCCCCTGTCCTTGCTGAGCTGGGGCTCTGTCTGTGTAATTTGGAGCCAGGAGGGGTGGGTGGGCAGCTCTGTTGATGGCGGTGCTGGGCGCTGCTGGCTGACCTGACGTGTGCCCCTGTCCCCAGCTGCTGGTTGAGAAGACGACCGACTCACCGGCGGCAGAGTTCTCGCTGGTGGAAGACGTGGCCCTGCACTTTGCCTGCTTGATGGGCCGCCTGAACGAGCAGCGCCTCTTCCAGCCTGACCTCTGCGACGTGGACCTTGTGCTGGTGCCCCAGCGCAGCGTCTTCCCAGCGCACAAGGGCGTGCTGGCCGCCTACAGCCAGTTCTTCCACTCGCTCTTCACCCAGAACAAGCAGCTGCAGCGGGTGGAACTGTCCCTGGAGGCTCTGGCTCCTGGTGGCCTGCAGCAGATCCTCAACTTCATCTACACGTCCAAGCTGCTGGTCAACGCGACCAACGTCCACGAGGTGCTCAGTGCTGCCTCGTTGCTGCAGATGGCCGACATTGCTGCGTCCTGCCAGGAGCTGCTAGACGCCCGCTCCCTTGGTCCCCCGGGTCCTGGTGCTGTGGCCCTGGCCCAGCCCACCACCAGCTGCACCCCGGCTGCACCACCCTACTACTGTGACATCAAGCAGGAGGCTGACGCCCCGGGCCTGCCCAAGATCTATGCTCGAGAAGGCCCTGACCCCTACTCAGTGCGTGTCGAGGACGGGGCGGGGGCCGCGGGTGGCACGGTGCCCGCCACCATTGGACCAGCCCAGCCCTTCTTCAAAGAGGAGAAGGAGGGGGTTGTCGGCGAGGCCGGTGGGCCCCCGGCCAGCTTGTGTAAGCTGGAAGGTGGGGAGGAGCTGGAGGAAGAGCTTGGGGGTTCTGGCACCTACAGCCGCCGGGAGCAATCCCAGATCATCGTGGAGGTGAACCTCAATAACCAGACACTGCACGTGTCCACGGGGCCCGAAGGGAAGCCGAGCACCACCACGGGCCCCACCATGATGCTGGGTCGGGAGGATGGACTGCAGAGACACTCGGAGGAGGAGGACGAGGAGGAGGATGAGGAGGAGGAGGAGGAGGAGGAGGAGGAGGAGGAGGGCCGTGGCAGTGGGGGAGAGGAGGAGGAGGAGGAGGAGGAGGAGGCGGGCGGCAGTCAGGGAGAGGAGGAAGACGAGGAGGAGGAAGGGCACAGTGAGCCGGAGGAGGAGGAAGAGGAGGAGGAGGAAGGTCGCAGGGAGCAGGACCAAGAGAGCTCGGAGCAGGATGAGGTGGAGGAGGAGGAGGGGGAAGCAGGGAGCAGGCAGGGGCCGGGCGTGCCCGGGGGGCGCCGGGGCGGTCGGGCAGAGCCCCCTCCCCACAGCCGCATGGCCACTCGGTCCAGGGACAGCGCCCGGCGCCGGCCAGCCCCCGAGGCAGAGGAGGCCGGCAGGCGAGGAGGGAAGCGGCCGAAGCCGCCCCCAGGCGTGGCCCCTGCGCCCGCCCGAGGGCCACAGGCCACTGACGGGATGGGAGCCAAGGTGAAGTTGGAGGAGAAGCAGCACCACCCCTGCCAGAAGTGCCCACGCGTCTTCAACAACCGCTGGTATCTGGAGAAGCACATGAATGTGACCCACAGCCGCATGCAGATCTGCGACCAGTGCGGCAAGCGCTTCCTGCTGGAGAGCGAGCTGCTGCTGCACCGGCAGACGGACTGCGAACGCAACATCCAGGTGGGCCCGCGCGCTGGGGAGCCAGGCGAGCGGGACTGGGCCCTGGGCGCAGGTGTCCTGCTGCCCGCGGGGCCCACAGAGATTGGGGAGCTCCCCGGACACTGGGTACAGCCCAGGCCCAGGGTGAGCCAGGAGGGCGGGGCCCAGGTTCTCAGGGTAGTGAGAGCTCCTGTTCATGCCTGGAGAGCTTCCTGGAGGAGGGAGCAGACTCAGGCCGTGGCAGGCAGAGCAGTGTGTAGACAGGGGCACTGCACCCTTGGCCAGAGGGGCAAAGGGGAACAAGAGCTCTGGAAGTGGGGGGAGCCTGGAGGGCCCTGTGGCCTGGGGACCAGCTGCTCCAGGAGGTGGACGCAGTGTTTAGCCACTGTGTAGTTTCAGACTGTGCACTGTACCCGAGCCGCTCGGGGTGGGGTGTGGGACATTGTTTTCCACTTGCCACAAAGGCTGACTGGAGCAAGGGGTGGCTGTGTAGGAGGAAATCCTTGCTTGCAGTTCTTGTGAGATGCTAGCGGGATGCCAGCGGGCCTGGGCCTAGAGAAGAAGCCAGGATGAGACATTTGGGGAGAGAAGGGGTGGCTGGGGCCAAGTGGGGGAGCCAGGAGGGCTGCCAGGCCTGGTGCCAGCCTGTGATTCTATGGCAACCTGGCCTCCCAGGGTGGGCTAGCCCAGGGCTGCCAGACTGGGTTTTACCTGCTGCAGTGGGGTGAGGAATGGGGTGCAGGCAGGTGGGTGCTAATTGCTTGGAGTAATTGCTAATTGCAGTGCTCCTTGGAGAAAGTACTGCTGGAGGGGTGGCCCTCCCCCTGCCCCCCCTCCTGCATTTGCTCCCACTTGCCTGCCTCACGGCAGGCGCCCTTGACTCTACCTGTCACACACAGAGCCTCTTCCCGAAGGGAAAGACGTGTGTGCCCTTCCAGACCGGGCATCCTCACCTAATTCCGGCCAAGCCGCCAGGCCTGTGCAGTGGCCCGCGGGGGGTGGGTGGTGGGTGGGCGGGACAGGGCCCAGGGGAGAGGGGAGGGGACTGTGCGCCCCTTGGTTTCCACCATCATCCACTGTTGTTTGATGGGCCAGTGCTTCCTGCAGTCCCCCCAGGCTGCCCTTTGGGCCCTCTCTCCTTAGGGGTCCCCATGATGCCAGGGTGTGGGGTCCCCACTGGGGAAGCCTGGAGATAAGGCACCAAGTGTGCCCGGCCTGTTAGAGGGGAGGGGTCCCCACGCGCACCGTGGCCCGCAGCCGGCTAGTGTCTTCCTTCTGTGGAGCTGCCGTGTGAAATAGAACAGAGGAGGTGATTCTTGACCCCCGTTGAGCTCCAGGATGAAAAGGGGCCCCAGGCTACAGCCCTGGGTGAGGAGAAAGTGTTCAGGCCACTACTGTCCCCAACTCAGACATCGTAGTTGGCCGGTTCTTGGGCATTAAGAGCTCTTTCCAGCTTAGTTCAGGTGGACAGTGACTCCAGAGAGGGGCGATGGCTTGTCCTAGTTCGGGGCCCAGGGCCTTAAAGCGTTCTCGTCCCACAGTGTGTGACGTGCGGCAAAGCCTTTAAGAAGCTCTGGTCCCTCCATGAACATAACAAGATCGTGCACGGCTACGCAGAGAAGAAATTCTCATGCGAGATCTGTGAGAAGAAGTTCTACACCATGGCCCACGTGCGCAAGCACATGGTCGGTAAGTCTCAGCTTCGGGATGGAGCCCGAGGTCAGGACCGGACCTGCTGCTGTGTGTGCTGGGGCTTCGTGCTCTGCGAGGGGCCCTGTCAGCGGGAGGCGGCTGCCGCGGCAGGTTGGCTGGGCGGGCTCTGGGGTCGAGCAGGCTGCACCCTGTGCAAGGGCTCCTGGGCGGGATGACAGGTGGGGCCCACCCGGCGGGCACACTGCTCGGCAGGCTGTGCATCCCGGCGGGGGGCGAGCACACCTTGGCTGAATCACACCAAGCGCCCCGTGGGCTGGCACTGGCTGTCCAGTTGGAAGACAGCACACCTCAGATTCTCACCTTCTAGCGCTCAGAAACAAGCTGTTGAGTCTTCCCTGAACGCAGCTCTCCTCCAGGGGATCCCCCTACACAGAGTAAGGAGGCCCCCCCAAGAGCGTTGGGCCTCCTGCTGCCACGGGGTTGGCTGGAGTCTGGTGGTCAGTGACCTCCCTTCCTTGCCTGTGCAGAGGCCCAAGGGAGAGCCTCCTGGCCAGGCCTCAGCCTCTGTCTTCACCAGACAGCGCCAGCGGCCTGCAGTGCGAGCTAAAGCTAGTGAGTGAGCCAGGAGCATGCTGAGTAGTCCAAAATCGGGGTCCTTTCTTGGATGGGACTCCAGCTCAGAGTTCTAAGGTGGCTCTCCCTATCTCCAGTTGCTTCCGCCCAGATCTTTCTTGAAGAGCTTGTTGGTCCTCACCATGGGCTCATGAGACACCCCCTGAACTGCTTAGAGCCCATGGGGCCCTACGAGTGCCATCATCCCCTGGAAAGTCTGGCACCCTCCCAGCCTCTTTTCATAGAAGAGGATACCGAGTCTCACAGAGACCACCCAGGGGCCAGGGTTTAAGCGGAGCCCAATCCCACTTACGATCCTCTAATCTTTCCCAGAAGCTTTAGAGGCTGAGGCTGAGAACCAGGAGGCTCTCCACACTGTGAGAGCCAGACGTCAGAGCAGACAGGGAGGCCTGGCCCAAAGCCTCACCTGGGACTCAGCCCCAGGCAGGGGTCAGAGGTTGTGAGACAGGATCCCAGGAGGGGGTGCCAGGAGGCCCCCACAGGGCTTCCCCATGGGTTGGGATGGGCGCTGTGGGGAGTGTTCAGGCAGGGATCCCCTGGGAGGAGCCCGGGGTTCCCCCTGAGACATGACAGCCACGGTGCCCACCCCGTAGCCCACACCAAGGACATGCCCTTCACCTGTGAGACCTGCGGGAAGTCCTTCAAACGCAGCATGTCTCTCAAGGTGCACTCACTGCAGCACTCTGGGGAGAAGCCTTTTCGATGTGAGGTGAGTGCCCTCCTCCACCTGCCCCAGCACCACCCTGACAGCAGCAGGGGTCAGGGGTAACTCCTGCTTAAAAACAGGGGGGGCTAGAGGGAGTTGAGGATGTGGTCCAGAAGGAGTGGCCCACTGTCTTTTGCCTCTGCCTCCCACCTGTCCTTACCTGGCAGTCCACGCTCCCTGCCTGACCGCCATTTCCTCACACATTCAGGTGGGACGTGGCATGGGCGGGAACCCTGGGGCAGGCAAAGGGAGGAGCAGCTCCCGCAGAGAGCAGAGTTGGAGTTGCAGGGGGTGCTGAGCGGCCCTCCCACTAGGGGAAGAGGGGGGCGCTCCTGCCTTCAGCTCCAGGCTCCCTGAGGTCACCTTTCCCCACCTCCTGCCTCCCGTCCCACCTGGGCCCAGCAGCCGGGCCTTTCTCCTTTCTCCTTCCGGTGCGCGGCTCATCTCCTCCCCCGGATCCTCCTGCGCCCTGCCCACAGAGGGGTGCGCCTTCCCTCCCTGAAGGGGCTCCCGCCCTGCCCCGGGCCTCCCCCGACCCCCCTCAGAACTGCAACGAGCGCTTCCAGTACAAGTACCAGCTGCGGTCCCACATGAGCATCCACATTGGCCACAAGCAGTTCATGTGCCAGTGGTGCGGCAAGGACTTCAACATGAAGCAGTACTTCGACGAGCACATGAAGACCCACACAGGTACCGTGGCCCTGGCCGCGCCCCTCCTCTGGCGGAACCCCCCGGGGGCCGACTCGGCCCCCCCCCCAGGTGGGGAGAGGCCGGCACAGAGCGGGCTGGGGAGGGGAGCAGGGGAGGATGCCCGGCCGGCCGCGCCCCAGGGCGCGAGGGGGCCCGGTGGGCGCCCCGCCATGACACCCTGCCGGCCCGTGCCGACCGCAGGGGAGAAGCCGTACATCTGCGAGATCTGCGGCAAGAGCTTCACCAGCCGGCCCAACATGAAGCGGCACCGGCGCACGCACACGGGCGAGAAGCCGTACCCCTGCGACGTCTGCGGCCAGCGCTTCCGCTTCTCCAACATGCTCAAGGCCCACAAGGAGAAGTGCTTCCGCGTCAGCCACCCCCTGGCCGGCGACGCCTCCCCCAGCGCCCCGGGCCTGGCCCCCGCGCTGCCGCCGCTCCCGGGGCCGCCCCACCTGCCGCCGCCGCCCCCGCTCTTCCCCACCACTGCCAGCCCGGGCGGGAGGATGAACGCCAACAACTGACTGCCCGCCTGTGCAGTGGGCAGAGCCCAGGCCCCTCCCCGGGGGAGGGCAGCCTGCACCGGGCCTGGCGACCCCCGCCGCGGCGGGGGCTGGACTTGCTTTGCTTGAGGCCTGTGATCCTGGGGGCTGTGGCTGGAGGCCCCCCAGAGCTGGCGGAGGACACTGCGCTCCCAAGTGCCCCCCCTTCAGTGACTCCTTGAAGCCTTTACTTTTAGGGGTGTTGGGGGGGAAGTGAGGGAAAAAGACAAGAGAAGAAACTGCAGCACCCCCCTCCAGGTGAGGGGCTACAAAGGTGGCAAGGTACAGTGGGGAGGAAGGGGACAGGGCAGCAGGCGTGACTGGTCACACCTGCTGAGGCCTGAGCCAGAGGGCTTGGCCAGGTGGCCCCTGAGTCAGCGTCAGCAGTTCAGCCCCACATCTTCCATACCCCCAACCTGTCCCCTCATCCTGGAGGGTTTGGGGAGAAGTTGGGGTGCCAGCCCCCCCTTGGAGGATCTGTGGCCGAGACAAGGGCTGGAGACTGGTGAATGTGTTGGGTGGGGAGTGGAGGGGTGTGGGGACTGTAGGCCCAGCTCTGTACCTTGTGGAGTTGGGCAGGCAGGGGCTGGACCCCGGGATTTGCTTTCTCTACCCGCACCCCTGGTAGCAGGCACAGGGACCCCTGAGGACCCTGCGCCCTGGATAGGACATCCCCAGAAGCTGCGGGGCCTCAAGGTCCGGTGGGCCAAGCCCTGGGTGGGAGCCGGGCGGCTCCGCGGCACATCCCCCAGGGCTGCCGGCAGCATCCCTGAGGCGGGAGGCCCCGGGGCGGGCCCCAGCAGGAAGCTTGGGCAGATGTTTTAAGGTTTCAAGGTGCTACCAGTGAGGGCAGGGGTGGGCTGCTGCACAGAGCACCCTGCCCCTCACAGCCACCCTGGCTCTTTCTCCCGTGCCAGAAGGGGATGTGTGTGTTTGTGTCCGTCTCCGCCCCGAAAGGCAGCACCGAGCTCATCTCCGGGGGCCCGGCCACAGCAGGACCCTGGCTGGTGTCCAGCGTCCGGACCCCTCCTGGGCCTCTGCACCGGTGGGCGGGGCGCCTGCATTGCAGGCCCTGTGGCACGGCGGAGTCCCGGGGGCCCCTTCCTGCACCCGAGTCTTGCCCCCACGAGGCCATCACTAATAGGAGCCCCTTTTTGTTGTCACTTAATGTCTTTATTTCCTGCCTTTAAATTGGGGAGGAAGGTTCCATAAGCTACATGTTTCCTAGTTAAGCTCTTTCCTATTGTGTTTATATGGTTTTGTTTGTTATACTCTTTGCACCTTAACCCCACGACTACCCCCACACACCACCTTCCCAGCTTGTCTGGAGTGGGAAAAGGCCTGACCCCAAGGGGGACAGAGGGGACACTGGACCCCACTGACCTCCTTGTGAGGCCCTTGGCACTGGGGCAGGGGGCTGGGATCATTTTAATCATCAATAAACTAAGCACTTTATTCTGTACAGATGTGGGTAGGTCCAAGGAGCCCGAGTGATGTGAGGATTTATAATCCAAGCTGCACAGCCCTGACTGTTCCCTGGGCCTGGAGCGGCAGTGCCCTGGCCTGGTTGGGTTTGGGGCCACAGAGGGTGGGCGCAAGCCAGAGCCTACAGACTCTCTCAGGCCCCTCCGCTGTCCTCTGGAGAGAGAAGGCGGGCCCCTCCCTGGAAGAGGATGGGATGGCTTCCTGCCCTGCAGCCCCCTAGCCCAAGGCCAGGGGTCCAAGCTCTCATGGGGTCAGGCTGGGCCTCCCAAGTTCCTGCTTTACTGTAGCTCTTGCCCTCTCCTGCACCCCTTGATCTCTGGGCTTCCATGACGTCCTCAGGGTCCCCCCCCCCCCAATCTCCTTCCCTTTGCAATTTCTAACCTCTGGTCCCAGTGCCTGGCAGCTCTTCAGAGCTGGCTCACATTTTCCAAAAACGTGTTGATCTACCCCAGTGGGCTGTGGACCATGACCCTCATGGTCTCCAATCCCTGTCACTGACACCAGGGTCTCCCCAGGGGCTGGTGGCCTTGCCACCTGCTAGCCCCACTGCAGCCTTAGAGAGCCTGGGTGGGAGGGGGGCTCTGGTCTGTGAGTCCAGACTGACACAGGCCAGAGATGGGAGCGTGGGGCTGGCAGAGGTGAAACCTGTCCCAGGACCTGGGGCTCCTCGTGCACTTCCCCACCGAAGCAGGAGAAGGATCTAGATGGCAGGCTGGGCACTGGTCAGAATGGTCACACAGCTGCATGAGGCGCGGCCGGTCCCTCTCCTGGAAGGCCCAAGTCCCAGTGGGGACAGGAGCCCTGTGTCCCTGGTGCTAACAGCTCTCCTCGGTTTGGGTCAGCGTTGCTGGGGGCTCCTTTCTGGCCAGACCACAAGGGTCTGAAGCAATAATGGAACCTCAGCAGTGTCAGTAGGGATAGGGGTTCTTGTTTTACCAGCCTTTGCATTTACTTTTTATTTTTTAAAAACAATTTAACAAGCACTTGGATCTTGGAGTGAGGCGACTGCAACATCACCCCTACTTTTCAGGGCCAGTGTGGTCTGGGGGCTCCGGATTGTAGCTTCCTGCCGGAGGTCTGCTGGGGTTAGATTTCAGGTCCAGAATCTGGGCCTCCCCCCTCAGCAAACTCTGGGCTCCTAGAGGCCAACTTGCCAAAGGAAGTGACCGGAGAGAGGAGGTGGGCCTGAAGCCCTGCAACTATGGCCTGGGGACGGGTCAGAAACTGACCCTCCAACCCCGGCACATGGTGTCAGGGCTGCCGTGATGCACCTCACAGGGCTCAGCACTGGACAAAACCTGTGCCCAGGCTTGTGGACCCTTGACGTCTGGTCACATGTGGCCACCCACAGCCCCCAAGGGTGTGGGCCGTGCAGGCGGGTGAGTGAGGAGAGTGGAGGGGAATAAAGTCAGTACAACTGTCCCTGGGTCCAGCCTCTTCTTTCCACTCTGCCTGCCCTGACTATCGGCTGGAAGGACGTGCAGAGGCAGCACAGAGCCCCACAGTTCGCTGCAGGCCACGCGCCATGAGTGCCTTCAGGCATCTGCATCTGCACACCCCGTCTTCCTCCCTTAGGGGTGGCGGGCACACCCAGAGTCAGGAGCTGGGGCAACGGCAGAGGTGCGCCCCTGAGCGGATACTGGGGCTCGGGCAGGAGGCAGGCAGGGGACCCTTGAAGGAGGAGTGGTCCTGGGGCTGCTGGTGTTGAGGCCAGGTTCCCTGCAGGTGTGACTTTCCCTGAGCACCGGGCATCCGCTGGGCAGCGCTCCTCTCCTGTGCTCTGCTCTGGGGGTGCTGCGCCGTGTGAACTCGTGCCCCCGGCAGGCAGGGAGGTCTGCAGGAGCCAGATGTCAGCAATGCCGCTGTGGGCGCCTGGCAGGACAAAAAGACAGGAGATAGTGGCCTCCTAGTGGAGGGGTGGGTGGCTCCCCGGGGGCCCCAGGATTATTGCACTGTTGCTACCATGTGCAGCGCTGGCTGGAATGACAGCTGGGCCCCGGGGAGATGTGGTATATGGGGCTCCTGTGATACCCCCCGATACACGGAGAGGGCACTCATGGGCCCCCCAGGATTCGGAAGGGGCTGGAGGAGGAGGCTGTTGGGTGGCCATTAGCCAGTGAGAGCAAGTGCAGATTCCCAGGGCGTGCGCGTGACTTCTCCATAGTCCATGTCTTGGGAAGGAACAGGGGCTCAGGTCGCCCTGCAAAGGAGACTGCCGAAGGCCTGAGGCTCTGGCTGCTGCGGTCTCTTGGATTCCGCTTCTCTGTGCTGCCCACCCCTGGCATGAGGCCTCGTCCACGTTTCTTCCTACAGTGCCACTGCCACCGCCCCTTTTCTCGAAGCATTTCCTGCTCATGCCCCAGAGTCCAGGACACATGTCCCGCTAGGCTGGAAGGCAGAGGCCGCCAGGCGGCCATGGCTGTGGGTGCAGGCACCAATGTAGCACATCTCAGGCACTCACCGTCTCCCAGCTTTGTTCTTTGGGACCAAATGGCTTCACTCCGCGGGTCCTGGGACTAGAGTCGGGGCAGTGCTGCTCTTGTGGAGAAAGCGGGGCTTACCCACCCACGATGGCACAGCCGGGGCCAGCGAGAAGAGGAAGTAATGTACTGGAGGCCTAGCTGTGCCCGTGGGCTGGCCCTGAATACGTGGCTTTGTAGAGCCCTCACTGGAGAGGAGTCAGGGCAGGCTGTGTCCTGCTGAGTGCCAAGACACACCCCACCACAGAGCTCAATGCCCAGCAGGCCAGCTTCGATCTGGGTCCTCCACGTGGACAGATTCACTTACTGACCGCAGCTGTCACGTCCTGGAGATCCCCTGCAGTGTCCCTCTCCACTCCACAACTTCCCGAGGAGGCTGAGGACAGGGAGCCTCAGATCTGTACAGTAACTTGTCCTTGGCCGGGAAGTGTGGGAGCCGGGACCCAAACCCAGGCCTGTGTGAGTCAAACAACCACAGCAGTGCCATGTCTGGCCCCCAGCAGCTCTCAGGGGAGCATGGCGATGGGCGTGACACGGCGACTGGTGGCCAGCAGGGCCCCTAGCCAACTTAAGCAGAGAATAATCTAATGAAAGATGTTAATTAAATCTCCAAGAGACCCAGAGACTCAGCCAGGAACAAACCCAAACCACTCTTCAGGGCTTGCCCCAAGGGAGGGGTGCCTGCCACCCCAGCTGGGAACTAGTCATGTCAGTGGCTATACCCTAGAAGCTGTTTCAGCCCTCTGCCACCCCCCCAGACCCTGCAGGCTACAGGGTACCTGTTTCCTTGTTTTCCTCTCCCCTGAATCAGGGTCTTGTGTGATGCATGACTAACTGGCAGATGCAGGTCAATACTTACATGTAGCTGTAAGGGAGGCTGGGAAAGCAAGTTATGTTTTCTCCTGTGGGCAGATGGGACTCTTCCCAATTAAAAAAAAAAAAAATCCAAGCTATAAGGATGGCCATAAAATGTCCACAAAGAACCATAATCTAGCCCTCACCACCTGATAGCAGCATGCATCCTCTCCCATACAGCAACAGAAAGCCCTTAACAACTTCCCTCCCATCCCCTTCCTCAAAGGACACCTGGCTTTGGTCCTCACTGACCGTGTCTAGCACCAAGTCCAGGGCCTGCAGTGCTAGCCGCTGTCTCCGATTCAGCTGTGATTTTGTTCTGGGGTTCTCTCATGTCTGGACTGGACTGTCCATGAAACAAGAAACACCTTACCCAGCAAGGAAGAAGGCAGGAAGATGCTCCATCCTGCCAGCCTCTGGCCATGAGGCCAAGATGGCGCTGATGGCTCCTGGCTGCTCTCCCCCTTCGATGTTCCCCTCGAAGCTCACAGAAATGCAGTCTGGAAGAATTGGGGCTGCTCTGACTTTTTTCAGTTTTTATTGAGGTGAAATTCACATAGCGTAAAAGTAACCGTTTAAAATTAATGGCTGTAAAATTAATGTGAACGTTAGCAGCAGCTGGTGCATTTACAATGTCGTGTAGCCAACACCTCTACCTAGTTCTGAAACATTTTCATCCCCCCCAAAGAAACATTAATTGGTTGCCCCCTTAGCCCCTAGAAATCATAAATCTGTGTGTTTTCTCTATGGATTTCCCCATTCTGGATATTTCACTAAATGGGATTATACACTATATGGCCTTTCATGTCTGACTTCTCTCACTTACTGTGTTTTTAAGGTTCATCTATGTTGCAGATCAATATCATCATTTCATTCCTTTTTGTAGCTCACAGTATATCCCATGCCTTGCATCTCGCGTTGGGGCAAGAGGAATCTCCCAAGAGGGTCCATACTTGCTTCTTCCTACTCCATAGTGTGGCAGCAACCAGATTTCTGCTTCAAGGCCAGGACCAATCACAGTCCACACAAAGCTCCCCTCTCCCTCCCTCCCTCCCTCCCTCTCTCTCTCTCTCTCTCTCTCTCTCTCTCTCTCTCTCTCCCTTACACTCACACCCACACACCCCCCCCCTCCCCTCTCCCTCCCTCCCCCTCTCC